AAGGAAAGGTATTGCCCAAAATATGCTCAGGGTATCCCCTGGAGCTCCTGCCTTATAAACTGAAAAGTGCCTTCAAGGGGGCGGGGAGATTAGGGGTGACAGGGTCTTAGCTCTCTCAGCTACTGGAGGTGGCCTTTCCATCATGGTCCCTGGTTCGGGGGGAGGCGAAGGGACACAAAGATGAGAACATTTCCGCCCAGTGCTTGGAGCTGACCTTGGGGCATCAGAGAGAGAATAATCCATTGTCACACCCTGTGCTTTGGAGGCTATGAACCATGCACAGAGCCTGGCCGGCGGCCGGTGAACCTGAGCTCTCCCGGCTGCTGCAGGGTTCCGCCTGTCCTTTGCTCTGGGAATTCCAGAAAGGGATCTAGAAAAGCTCTCCTCGCCTTACTCACTTACTCTCACAGCAAATCGGACTCAAGTTGGTGAAGCAACTTGCTACCCAGTGCAGACTCAGACTCAGACCTGACATAGAAGCATCTGGTCCGCAGGGGGCTCCCGTCTGCTTCAGTTTCCTCCCCAGCCAGGGGCGCCCTCCTCCTCCTCGCTGGGCTCCCCGCTGTGGGCTGCCAGGATCACCTTCCTCGGAATAACCCGGGGACATTCCCCTCGCAGGCTGTTCCAGGGAGATCCACATATTTGTTTGCCTTTGTCAACCCCTCAGAGGGCTCTGGACCTCGGCTTCCTGAGGATCCAGAAAAGGGGATCGGCTGCCCAGCAATTTCTGACCACACTACAGGGCGGGCGGTGGGCGGGCTGCCTGTCCTCCCCCCACGGAGCCACCCCTCCCCCCAACTTCCCTCCTCCACCTGGTGCAAACCACGGAAAGGCCTCCACGCTTTCTGTCACCCCCTGAAGACTCGGCCCTGGATGCTAATTAAATACATTCACGGGAGAAATCTGTGTAGGGACAACAGCGGGGGAGGGGGTGGCTTTAAATGGCTGTGCCATTCCCTGTGGGTTCCAACCAAATTAGCAAAAAAAGAGCTCCCTGTGCCCCCCCACCTCCAATCAGCTGACACGCCTGGAAATGTAGCTTTAAACAATGTTTGCTGGGCAGCCTGGGGCTTTCTGTTCCTGAAGTAGAGCCAAAGTCATCTTGTTGACCGTGTGGGCAGCAGAGGCCAGGCCAGGAGAGTGTGGGGTTCCCTGTGCAGACAGCGCAGGGGTCAGCCCAGGGAGAGGAAACCTTTCAGCCGGTGCATCCGGGCAGCGTGGGGGTGAGGGTGGCCGAGGCCGGGTCTTGTGGGGGAAACAAACACAGCTCAGCCATGAAGTGACGTGTGGGTGGTGGATACCCGAGCCTCTGTTACCCTCTGGGAAAACCCCCCATCCACGTCTCTTTCCAGCTGTGTGCTCAGTGCCACCACCTTGGGGCCTGCAGTCAGCCGTGGAGGTGGTGTCTGCACCACAGGAATAGCCAACGTGAAGCTTCAGGGCTGTTTTCCTGGCACGCTGGTTGGTCAGCACACCATTGCTTGGGGGGTCTCTAGGGTTTTAAGTACAACATTTTTAAAAATATATAATTTTTTTATTGATTCAGAGAGGAAGGGAGAGAGAGAGAAAGAGAAACATCAATGATGAGAGAGAATCATTGATCAGCTGCCTCCTGCACGCCCCACACTGGGGATCAAACCCGCAACCCAGGCATGTGCCCTGACTGGGAATCAAACTGTGGACCCTTCAGTCCGCAGGCCGACGCTCAACCATTGAGCCACACCGGCCAGGCAAAGATATATTGATTTTTAACAGTGCTCACTCCAGAAGTCACGGTTTGGACAGACCCTGCAGCCTT